GTGTTAATGCCATTTGGAGCAAAGCCTCAGAAGTCAGCCTCTCAGTTTCTGTGCCCTGATGGCCTGGTCCCAAGGTCATCTCTGAAAACTTTTGAAAATGTGGTCTTGGCATCATCCCAGCAGTTTCCGTGACTTGCTGTGGGATTAACTTCACAGATTCCTCCTCTTGTGGCCAGATCTCAGAAGCTAAAGCTGCAGAGGCCGTGTCCTGATGCCTTGATCTAGAAGTTGAACCCAGAGATTTCATTGCTTCTAAGTGTGGTTCCATGGTAAGTTTCCTTGATTCAACATGTAAGTGTGTTTCAGGAATTAACCTCCCAGATTCTTCCAGTGGTACAGTGAAATCCACAAATTTATTATCATGCATTAGTGGCCCTAGAGTCAACGTCTCAGGTTTTGTACGTTGGGGCCCCCGTGGTCCTGGGGTCAATGGCACAGATTTCACACTTTGAAATTGTGGTTCTGAGGCCAACTCCTTATAGTTCATAAATTCTGAATATGGTCCTAGATTCAGATGAACAGACTTCATACCTTGAGACTCTGGGTTCATCACTTCTGGGGTCAGATCTTGAATCTCTGATCCTGGGACCAACTCTGGAGATTCTTGTATTATGTGTTGAGACATCCGAGTCTCCAAGGCTTTTACGCCTTGGAGCATTGTCTCAAGAGCACCTTGGAATGGCATTGAGTTCATCTGCATAGATTCTAAGGTCTGGCTCAATGGCCTTGGAGTACTTCCTAAAGATGATTGTTTCAACTCCATAGATTCTTTCCTCTGGTGACAAGTGTCAGAGGTCAACTCTGCTTCTGCTCCTTCGTATCCTGGCTCTGTGATCATCCCTGAAGATTCTAAAGCTTGATGCCATGGAGTCAATCCTTCAGGATCTATGGCTTCATGATTTGGCTTGAGGCTGAGCTCTACAGATTTCACTGTTTGAGTGCGTGCCCCTGAAATCGGCTCCTCGTATTTCATACCTTCCACCTGTGTTTTAGGAATCAACCTTCTGCATTCTACCATTCGAGGAATTTTCACATCTTTAAGTAAGAGTGCTGGAGCTATCTCCTCTGGTCTTTCATCAGGTAACCATGGCTCTGGGGCCAACTCCATGGATTTCATGTCTTCCTGTAGTGGTCTTAGGGTCAACTCCACAGCTTTTATATCTGGAAACTCTGGTGGCATGCCCAAATGAACATATTCCAGACCTTGCAACTGTGGAGCGGAGGTCAACTCCATTGATTTCCTATTCTGTAACTGTGGTGCTGGGGCTAACTCAGCAGATGTTCCACTTTGTTCTTGTGTTCCTAAACGAATAGATTGCAGACCTTGAAGCTGAGACGTTGGGGCTAACTGCACAGAATTCCCACTTTCCAGCAGTGGAATGGGTGCCAACCCATCAGATTTTACAGTCTGCAGTTGAAGTTCTGGGGCCGATTCTATAGAGTTCACAGTTGGGATCAACTGTCCATATTCTGCCATTTGTGGGATTGAACCTGAGGTTCCGTCTATAGGTTTTACATTTTGTAATCCTGGGGATAACTTCATGGAATCCACAACCGTAAGCTGTGGCATTGGCTTCACCCCCAAATATTCTACATCTGGAAGTAGTGATGTAGTGGTCAATACTGAAGAATCTGTGACTTGATGCAGTGGCTCTTGATTCATTCCCTCAGACGCTGTACTTTGACCCAGTGACCTCGGGACTGTACCTAAAGATTCCATTATTTGACGAGGTGACTGTGTCAACTCAGTTAGATTTCTGACTGTGGGGTCAGAGGCCAACCCTCTAGTTTCTATAGTTTGGTGGCTTTGCCTTGGACTCATCTCTGAAGGTTCTAAGATTTGATCCCACGGGGTCATCCTTGAAGATTCTATGACTTGATGTGATAGGCCTGGGGTTAATGCCATAGTGTCTGTGCGTTGATGATATGGTTGTGGAGTCATCCCCACAGAGTCCAGCACCTGAATCCATGACCCAGGGGTCAACTCCAGAGGTTCTTTGACTTGAGGTACTGGCCTCGAGGTCAAATCCGGAGTTTCCACAATTTGTGATTGTGATGCTATGATCATTCCCATGGTTGACCCCAGGGCTACTGGAGTTACCTTTAGAGAATGTACGGATTGATGTGATGGCATTGGAATCACCCCTACTGATTCTGTGACTTTAGGTGGTGGCTTTGGAGGTAAACCCACAGTTTCTACAACTCCAGGTGAACCAATAGTAGTAGGAGAGCCGGAAGTCAAACCATCTGGTTGAGTCACTCCTGGGGTCAAATTTGCAATTTTAGACTGTGAATCTCCATATTCTATAACATGTGACTGTGCTGATGGAATTATCCCCATGAAATCCACAGCCTGTAATAGTGCCACTGGAGTTACTTTTGTGTAATCTGTAACTTGGTGCAATGGAGTGGAGATCATTTCCAGGGATCTTGTGTTTTGACACACTGGTCCTGGAGGAATGTTCAGTGGTTCTATGGCTTGATTTTGTGGCCTTGAGGTTATGTCCACGGATTCAGCAACTTGAAACTGTGGCCCTACAGTCATTTCCACAGTTTCCACAACTTCATGTCCTACCTGTGGACCTATGTCTCCTGGTGGCATGACTTCATGATCCAACGATGTGTTTATATCCCCAGACTCCATGGCTGGATACTGTGTTCTTGGGGTTATTCCCACTGATTCTATGATATGTGAATGTGATTTTTTAATCATCCCGATAGAATCCATGACTTGAAGCAATTCTACAGGGGTTACCTTCACATTATCTGTGACGTGATTCGGTGATCTGGAGGTCATCTTTGATTCCATAACTTGATGCTGAGGACTTGATGTTACCTCCACTGATTCAGTGATTTGATATGATGGTTTTGTGCTTACACTCACTCTTTTCATCGTTTCCACTGGTTTCCCAACTTCATCTGGTGGCTGTGGGAACAAACCCACAGATTCTGCCACTTCTGAATGTGACTCTGGGATGATCCCCATTGAATCCATGACTTGAAGTAATGCCAGTGGAGTTACCTTTATGCTATCTGTAACTTGATATGATAGCCTTGGGGCCAACTCCACTTTAGTCACTTGGGTCTCATGCTGCTGCATCCTTTTTTCCGGAAAACCTATGACCCTCTGGTCTATACTAAGCTCTAGGATGTGTTTTGGCTCTTTCTGCAGGAAATTGGTTTCCTCTTGAATTATGTCAACTCCTAAACTTTTGGGAGGTGGAGTGCCCAGTGATGTAACTAAGGGCCTGGATTCAACGATTTGGGGGCCATCCCCCAGTTGTGACAGCTTACCTGGGATAAGTGACTGTGAAATTTTTGTTTCTGTTCTATTCAATCCAGATTCCACTCCAATATTCACATGGAGCTGGAATGATGGACAGTTTGGGGATTTATTGTTGATACTTTGTTCACTGCTTTGATGGATAGGCATAGATACCTGCATTTGAGGTTTCTCTGGTTCAGGGACTCCTCCTCGTGCCTCAGTTAAATAATGCAGCATTTCCCATGATTCCTTCACAGGCAGAGGAACTGTTTGTTCCTTCAAAGTACAAACCTTCCAAGCCATATGTCCTTCTAACTTCCACCCAGCCAAAGGAGAGAGCCGGAGTGGAGCCCGCCCTGAGAATCCTGGTCTTGCCTTGCAAATAGAATTTGACCCATGATCCAATGTCAAATGACTCTTGCTCCCTCTCCCATTCTTTGTTTGTTCTTGTTGACAGAGACCTGGGGATTCAAAAACAGAGCTGATAAAAGAGCTTTGAGACCTTAATGGTGAAAGAGCTGCCAAATCCTCCAAAAGATGTGATTTCTCAAGCTGTGAGAGTTGAAAAGGGGGCAGGGATGTGCCTTGGTTCCTGAGCACAGAAGACTGTTTTTTGGGTAAAATAGGTAAACTACGGCTCTGGAGTTGCCAGGTTGTTCCTTCAGAAATGACAGAAAGGTGTGACAGGCTGGAGCTGTTGCATAATGATCCAGAGGAGATGCTGTGATCAGTAGAATGTTTTGCCTTCTTACAGCCACAACAGGGTAGAACAGGCTCCTGAGACACAATAACAGAGGAGGTAGAGGAAGAAATCATATCCGAAGATTCTTGCAAACACGAGTGCATAAGACTTGATCTAAGAAATAAAGAAAAATTCCATTTGCTTTGAAGCAGGAGAAGGTAGGAAAAGTAGGAAAAGGGAAAGATAATGGCCATTTCAAATGTAAAATATTTTGACCTGAGGGAGTACAACAACAAAAGAGGTTGCTTTCCCCAACTTCAATTATTTATAGAAAGAATTCCTCTACCAGGAGGAAAGGGAGGCCATTGTCTCCATTGCAATCAGAAATGATTCATAAACCAGTTGTTCTTAAACCTTTGAACTCAGAATTCATCCCCACTATCAAAACTAACCAACCAACCAACCAACCAACCAACCAACTAACAATCTCTCTTTTCCCTCTCTCTTTCCCTCCCCTCCTTCCCTCTCTATAACCCTTCCTCCCTTCAGTCCCTTCCTTCCTCTCTCTTAAAAGTTCTACCAGCTTTGGGGTACCTGGCTGCCTCAGTCAGTATAGCATGCAATTTTTGATCTCGGGACTGTGAGTTTGAGCCCCACATTGGGGGTAGAGTTTACTTAAAAAAAAAAACAAACAAAAGACCTTCCATCACTTCAACCCCCACCCAGAAACTACCTTCCCTGACCTTGTGCATTCCAGATGTTTGAAGATCTGTTGAAGACTTCTGGTCATTGACCAGAGTATATATTCCTGGGCCCATCCCACAGGGAGTCCTGAAAAGCTGGATACAACAGAGTGTGTCAGTGTAATTGAAGTGATATTAAAAGTACTAATAAGGAAACCAATAAGAAGAGTGGCTTAAGTTAGAAAGGAAACTACTATCACAGTCAGAAAAGTAAAACAGTACTAGGTATCTTTCTCCTCACTTTACAGGGTTTATCAGTAGGGTAGGCTGAAGAAAGAAAGAATAGATAGTGACGATCAATTTTACTCACTTTGTCAGGTTAGCTTCAGAGCAACCCATTCTGAGATTTTCTTCCCACTGGGAAGCTGGGAGCAGAGGTAAAGAATCTGTTAGAATCATAATTATTGATACCACCTAGTTCAAGCCACTTGTTTTACAAAGAAGAGATCGAAGGTGAAATCATGTCCAGGATCATAAAGTTAAGTAGTGATAGAGCTCAGACGTAATGTAGGTCTAAGTTTTTATATTTTAAAATATACTATGCCGCCTTTACCATGTAGTGGATGTAAGTCATTGGAAACAGCTGAAACAATCATGGTAGGAGGGAGTTGGAGTAAGGGAAATAAATCTGTAATACATATTTTTTCCTTCAAATGAGTCTATTCAGCGTCTATGGCAGGGGAAAAATGTATCGAAACTTCCCCCACTAAAGATCTCATCAAATTTCTTTCCTGATACTTTGAGTTTTGCATAAAAGGAAATTAGGAAAGAAAACATGAGGAACGGAAGCATAGAAAGAACTATAAATCAGTTTACATCTCTTTGGAAGTTGCCAGAAAGAATTTAGCATCTTTGGAGATGTTAGGAAGAATAGGCACATTTCTTTCACTTATACAATCTTTTTCAACCTCCCACCCTCTACCTGTTATTAAAGTCTACAGTCTAAAAGCAGACCCACTGTTGATTTGTCATTAGCCTTGAGCTAAAGAATAAAGTATAAGATCTCTCTGACCTGTGAATTTCTGGATCTTTTTCAATTTACGCTGCCTTGAAGTCTAGAGGGGCACAAAAAGAAAAAATAAAACCAGAAAATGTTCTAGGTTAGAGAATTTATCAACAGCACATTTCGTCTTACAGATACAATTATTCATCCAGTTGGTAACCATAACCACAGCAACAATTACCACCCCATTCACTTATTCATAAATTATCTAATGAGCGCTTACTAACTTCTAGGCATTATGTTAGGTGCCAGGACTACAAAAGTAAATGAGATCCCTGTATTCTGGGAACTCACATTACTGGGGAAAACAGATGGCTAAACGGCTAAGTTACAATATCAGGTGGTAACAGAAATATAAAGGTTAGGGAATAAAGAGGACAGTGGTTAACTGCCTGGGAAAAAAGGAAAAAATTACTCAAGAAATGGCCAGTTGAACTGGAGTTTAAATTATCACCAGAAGATTTTTAGGTAAAGAGAGAGCATTCCAGCCAACGGGAACATGACCAAGAAGATTATAAAGTCATGATTTGTTGGGTGTACTTTTGCTAAGTAGTGAGAGATGAAACTAAAATATAGGTGGAAGCCAAGTTGTTCCAGGTCATTTTATCTATCTATCTATCTATCTATCTATCTATCTATCTATCTATCTATTTGACAGAGAAGAGAGCACAAGCAGGGGGAGTGGCAAACAGAGGGAGAGGGAGAAGCAGGTTCCCACCTGAGTGGAGAACCTATTTCATCCTAGAATCCTAAGATTATGACCTGAGCCAAAGGCAGACACTTAATCAACTGAGCCACCCAGGCACACCCCAGATCATTTTAAAGACAGAAGTGATATGTGTTGCCATTTCAAATAAAATAATTTTTATTTCTTCCTTTTGATTCAGGACATCAGTCTCTGAGAGCATATTAAAACAGCCTATACAATTTTATTCATAGTATTAGCAAATGTTTTAGCTAAGCAATCGGATGTTGGATAGAAGTGTTGAAAGTAAGATCTCCCAAGAACACTAAGGTGGTTTAACCTAAGAAAGTAAACCAATGTGATATACCACATTAATAACACAAAGAGAGCAGCACCTGGGTGGCTCAGTGGTTGAGTGTCTGCCTTTGGCTCAGGTTGTAGTCCCAGGGTCCTGGAATCGAGTCCCCCATCAGGCTCCCCATGAGGAGGCTGCTTCTCCCTCTACCTATGTCTCTGCCTCCCTGTGTGTGTCTCGAATGAATGAATGAATGAATGAATGAATAAATAAATAAAACCTTTAAGAAATGACATGAAGAGGAAAAACCTGAACAATAATGTCAACTGATGGAGAAAAAGCATTGGCAAAATCCAACACTCACTCATGATTTATAAAAAATAGAAACACTCAACAAACTAGGGTTCGAAGGGATGTCCTCAATATAGTAAATGGCATTTATGAAAAACCCTCTACTAATATAATTCTTCACAGTGAAAGACTGAAAGCTTTGCCTTTAAGGGGGGAACAGACAAGGATACTCACTTTCACTACTTTTTCTTTAATATTGGACTAGAAACTTCAACCAGAGCAATTAGGTAAGAAAAATAAAAGCCATCTCAATTGGAAAGGAAAATGTTAAACTATCTCCATGTCTATTCACAGATGACATAATCTTGTTGTCAGAAAATCCTAAGAACACACACACAAACCCAATTAGAGCTAATAAATGAATTTAGAAAAGTTGCAAAATACAGTAAATCAGTTGCATTTTTACAAATATTTTATTGATTTGCGAGAGACCCAGAGAGAGAGAGAGAAAGAGAGACAGGGGCAGAGACATAGGCAGAGGGAGAAGCAGACTCCCCACAAGGAGACTGAGGTGGGACTTGACCCTGGACCCCAGGATCACCCCCTGAGCTGAAGGCAGATGGTCAACTGCTGAGTCACAAAGGCGTCCCTGACATGTGGTTTTTAACTTGCTTTAACTTCAGAGAACAAACTGATAGTTACCAGAGGGGAGGTGGGTGGGGGATGGGTAAAAACAGGTGAAGGGGATTAAGAGTACACTTATCTTGACAAGCACCGAGTAATGTACAGAATTGCTGAATTACTATATTGTAAACCTGAAACTTATATAACACTGCATGTTAACTATACTGGAATTAAAATTTTTAAGTAATAAAATAAAATTTTCTGTTCTGAAGAAAGAAAGTGGTCTGTGGCCTAACAGCAGTAACAGAACCTGGGAACTTGTTAGAAAGGCAGACTCTCAGGCAGCCCCCGGGGGGGGGGGGGGGGGCGGCTCAGGGGTCTAGCGCCGCCTTCAGCCCAGGGCGTGATCCTGGAGTCCTGGGATCCAGTGCAGGGATGGAGTGCCAGGATCAAGTCCCACATTGGACTCCCTGCATGGAGCCTGCTTCTCCCTCTGCCTATGTCTCTGCCTATGTCTCTGTGTCTGTCTGTCTGTCTCTCTCTCTCTGTCTCTCATGAATAAACAAATAAAATCTTCAATAAAAATAAAAGAATCACAGGGTTAACCAACTGAGCCACCCAGGCACCCTCTGCCATTTTCTTTTACTTTTTCTTTTTTTATAAATTTATTTTTTATTGGTGTTCAATTTGCCAACATATAGAATAACACCCAGTGCTCATCCCATCAAGTGCCCCCCTCAGTGCCCGTCACCCAGTCACCCCCACCCCCCGCCCACCTCCCCTTCCACCACCCCTAGTTCGTTTCCCAGAGTTAGGAGTCTCTCGTGTTCTGTCTCCCTTTCTGTTATTTCCCACTTGTTTTTTCTCCTTTCCCCTTTATTCCCTTTCACTATTTTTTATAGTCCCCAAATGAATGAGACCAAATAATGTTTGTCCTTCTCCGATTGACTCATTTCACTCAGCATAATACTCTCCAGTTCCATTCACGTTGAAGCAAATGGTGGGTGTTTGTCATTTCTAATGGCTGAGGAATATTCCATTGTATATATAAACCACATCTTCTATTTATTTATTTATTTATTTATTTATTTATTTATTTATTTATTTATTTATTTATTTACGATAGTCATACAGAGAGAGAGAGGCAGAGACACAGGCAGAGGGAGAAGCAGGCTCCATGCACCGGGAGCCTGACGCGGGATTCGATCCCGGGTCTCCAGGATCGCGCCCTGGGCCAAAGGCAGGCGCCAAACCGCTGTGCCACCCAGGGATCCCAAACCACATCTTCTTTATCCATTCATCTTTCGATGGACACTAAGGCTCCTTCCACAGTTTGGCTATTGTGGACATTGCTGCTATAAACATCGGGGTGCAAGTGTCCCGGCGTTTCATTGCATCTGTACTTTGGGGAAAATCCCCAGCAGTGCAATTGCTGGGTCGTAGGGCAGATCTATTTTTAACTCTTTGAGGAACCTCCACACAGTTTTCCAGAGTGGCTGTAGCAGTTCACATTCCCACCAACAGTGCAGGAGGCTTCCCCTCTCTCCACATCCTCTCCAACATTTGTGGTTTCCTGCCTTGTTAATTTTCCCCATTCTCACCCCTCTGCCATCTTTCAATTGCATATGGGATTAATATTTATCAGAAGCATTCAGCCTGGCATTCAAAGCCCTCTACAATGTCATCTCTACCAATTTTCTAAAATTTTCTCTCATTGGGCTCCCTATTCTACACGCCATCCTCATAGGTGTCCTCTCTACAAACACATCCAACACTCTTCAGCTTCCCATGCTTTTTCTCAATCCATTCCCTACATCAGGAAAGTCTTCACTACTCTCTTCCATCCACACTATCCACCTTCAAAGCCCTACCCCTCCTCTGAAGCATACTTCAAACCCGAGCTTTCCAGAGGCATTTTATAGATCTCCCTGCTTCAAAACACTCCACCTCCAACGTCTGCCGCAATATTTATTCTTCTATTAACTCATCACGTTCTCTTTCCTTGGATTATATATACATACCCATTTGATCATCTCCCCCAGTTCACCTCGAGCTCCTAAAACGTGGGAGATGGTGTTTTATTTTTCTTCAATGTCTAGTATGCTACCACATATAATAGGTGCTCGAGGTTTGTTGAAACAAACTGAAAGGAACAGGATCGAGCATGACTTGTACTTATCGAAAGACATGCATAGGAACGATCTCAACTCCCCTCTTTCCCCAGCCAGTTCCTCTCATGGCCCAAGATGTGGGAGTTGCCATGGCTTCTGGGGCAGAGACAGGGAGCAGTGAATTTCAAGGGAGGGTTGCATTACATACCTTGGAGTCTGTCTTGGTTGCCACCTGCTTCCTGCTCTGTTTCCCAGAAAAGAGTATCCAAAGTCCCCATGCAAGGAAACCAAATAATAGTAGAAGGCTGACATACAGTGGAGGTGGCATAGCCTCCAAATGGCACTCCAAATCAGTGCCATTACTCAACCCATTGCTCCTCTCAACCCAATGCTCCTCTCAGCTCCTCTCCCTCAAGGCTGTGTCTGACCCCATATGATGTCACAATGGAAACTTCAAGGTAAACCTGACAGGGCCCAGCCAATGTCCGAGCTGCTGGCCTCTCTCCTCTGAGCCATACCCATCTGCTGCCCTTTTCTGCACCTGCTCACGGGTTCTGTCCTGACAATCAATGCTCAGGGAAGGCCTCCTTTACAATTCTACTAGGATTTGGCTGGACAACTTGTCATAAAGTAGAGAATATGGAGTCAAGATTTCAAAGGCTCCAAGTCGCCTGTCTTGCACTAAAGCATCTTCTCTTCTCTGGAACCAGTCATTCCATAGAGGGTCAGTTATGGTGTCGTATGTTCCCAAATCACAAACTAGAATACAGAGTCAAATACATTTAAGAAAGCTTGGATATCTTAAGTAAACACTCTCAGAAAAATGTGATACATATAATTTCCTACTCCAAGGCTTAACCCATTTCTTAGTTGCTATAGCACTGAAACAGAGAAGAGATGTCACATAGGGAAATTAAATAATCTCAGAGGATCACTCTACTCCAGAATCCAGGGTCTCATTTTCTAGAACATTTATTATATCATTACACCCAGAGCTACCTGGATTTTCTATGCTAATTCACTGTAAACAAAATTTACAAGGAATC